GGGAAAGACATGGAGAGCCAAAAGCTAAGAAATTAATTGCAAAAATAAACGAAACTTGGAGCCAAACAAACCATGTGGTGGGAAAGTGGGGCGATACCTCCATCTGTGATGCACAGACTTGAACATCAATGCCCGTCGAGTCAGAACCCGGTGGCTCTCCCACCTTAGTCTACTCAGGGCGTTGTCTTCCACCTCTCCCATTTGTTGCTGATACCGTGTAGGTGGATAAAGAAGCGTAAGAGAGAACGGTGCTTCGGCCTCTTCGCTTGCCTGGACGCGGTGGTATTTGGCACACGAAGTCCCGTTCTGCCTCTCCGGCTCAACCGTTATTTGGGAAAGCTAAGTGGCATCAGGCCCCCGTATTCCAGCCACACCTTCATCAACTGACCCTGGATTGTCAAGTAACAATAAGCTCGTCGGTTCACGGCGTACATGATCCAGATTCATCATCAAGACATTTATGGAATCCATGCTCCAAATTTCCATGGCGATAGTTAGATCGTTGTGGACCCTGAGATGGTGTGGTACCGATTACTGGCTGTCCAGCTCTTTGTGCAAAAAGCTCGCTAGCATCGTGTAGTAAACATACGACCGTAAGCACGATTATTTGGCTTATTAGGAATAGGACCTTCGCAGACGGTGTCTAGATTCATCATCACTGTAAACGTCAAGTGTCGATGTCAGACACTAGACTCCGAGGTCGGAGAGCCGCTGCGTGACGGCGGAGCAGGGAAAATTAGCCTGCGGAGTGCGGAGCTCCCGAAATATCCAGCAGGCAGACGTCCCTGGGATCTGCGTGATAGGGGTAGTCTAGGGACCGGCGGACCCTGCAACAGCAGAAAAGGCATTGGAGGTCACTCCCTGGAACCCCCAGCGCCGCTTTACAACTGTCCTTCACAACGGTAGGCAGGGAAACACTCTGTGCCTCACCTGCGAACAATTCTGGCATTGTGATCGTCAAGACTACATTCATATCAAGCTCTTTTTGGTGCCTACTCCGTAGTGCGTGACTGCCAGTCAAGTGGAGTCTTCCGAATACCAACCCTTTGCATATTAGCTGGCATGAGGCCTGCGCAAACGCTGATGATAGGCCCAAAGTTGCCGTTCACCGGTTATTCTATGACCCTATCTGCAATCTACCCAACATTATTAGTCTGTGACTAGCGAACAATCACGCCATGTGATAGACCTTTCGGTAGCGCTTGGAGGGTTGCAAATATCATGCGCTCTTGGATGTACTACCCGATGCTGGCCATCACAATGCGACTAACCCTCGCGAGCAGACCGGTATCCGTCAAGCAAACGTTCGCCGACGCTGCAAGAATACCATGCAAGGCCTGACTGGAGTAAGTACACCCTAGTCACCAAGCTAGCTGATGCCAAGCATTGATGCTTGCATCTTAACAGTGACAGCAAGTATGATTCGTACACAATCCATATTATACAGTCTGCCCCCCTTGATCTAATTGGCTTTGAAGCATTGAAGGCTGGGATAGTGGCCAAACTACTCCGTAGTGATAGTGCAAAGCCGGGGTAGCATGATCCACAGTCGGACAGGCTCGCTTTCACAGATACTACGTCTGGTCTGCTAAGCAGGTTGGAGTAGGATGTACAGTATGGGAGGAGTGGAGTAGTCTTCAAGTTAGTTAATAGACTCTAAGGAATGATGCAACCTCAGGCCATGCATGATTCTTCGACGGCAGTCCAATGTAGGAAAGGATCGGAGAGGTTAGTACGGCCCACGGTAGACATCACAAGGCAGCTCAGAAAGGATACTCCAAAGAGTCAATTAGAGCCTATCATCCAATGGTCGCCATCTGGGGATGAAGCTCTTCACCCGGTAAGGCTGTTTGGGTTTGACCGGGGAGGAAGGGCATCAGTGTAACGAGAGGGCGAAATGCTGGGTTGCTCTCGGAACCCCCCGCCGAATGGTATCGCTGGATCGGATCGCGATCTCCCCACATTCACCTCTGGTCTTACTTTTTTCATCATCCTCCTTCCCTTCACCAACCTCCATCAACCTCCCATTACTGCTACCGTTTGAGTAGCGGGTGGTAGTCAACATGGAAAAACTACCAACTCAATCCAAAGCCGACAGTTCCGGCTATGTCGACCTTTCCGGGTCGTCCGTGGCGCGACCGATCAGCACCCGTCGCGACCGGGTTGTTACTCGGCTGGCCGCATGTCTGGGGCTCATCACCATCGCCTTCCTAGCTTTATCGTGGACCCCCATCTCCATTTCCGGCCTTAAGCTCTTTTCGTGTCATAGATGGAGAAGACATCCTGATGCTTCGTTTCCTCCGGACTTGGGCGCGGAGGAAGCTCCGTTGTTGAGTGGCCCACTGCATGAGCTATCCACCCTCGACGGAAGCCTAGCCTCGAGTAACAGGATTCCCCTTGAGGCTCATGTCATGAGTAAATGCCCCGACGCTCGGGACTGTCTCCAACAGCTTGTCCTTCCTGCTATGGAGCAGATCAGCGACAAGGTTGACTTTAAGCTGTCTTTCATCGCCGCGTATGTAGACTTCCTGTCCTTTCGCCTTCCCAGCCGCTCGGAAAACTGACACTGTGCCCAGAGTATCCAACAAGTCATCGGAGATCCAATGCATGCACGGTCCCACCGAATGCATCGGTGACATGCTCATCCTCTGTGCGGCTAATCTGCCTTTTCCGCCTGACTCCGGTGCCATGTGCTCCAAGGAGTCCCGTACTCCAACCATCCGGTCGCTCGGGTTTGCCAACTGCCTTATTAGCTCGTATCCCGATATTCCGAAGCGCGACCTGGTTCAGGGATGTGCTTTGGAGCACGGTATCGACTTTGAGGCTCTGAACAAGTGTGCCAGTCGAGAGTATGATGACCTTGGCGACGACGATCATAGCGACGAGCAGACACCGCTTAGTGGCATTGCTCTGTTGCGCAAGAGTGCACTGCACAGTGAAAAGCTCAATGTCAGGACCAGCTGTACGCTCCGACTGAACGAGTCTACCTGGTGTGTCCGGGATGGTGGAGTCTGGAGGGACTGCGCCCAGGAAGGAGAGGGCAGCAAAGTCTCGGTGCTCGTGGACGAAGTGAAGAAGCTGTGGGACAAGGTCAACTGAGCCTTTGCTGTGCTTGGTGAGATACTAATAATGTGCTATGACTGATGTGACAGCTTTTCCGTGATGCAAATGATGTGTGAAGGCAACCTATGCTATATCCAGTTATGACATGTCTTTAGCCGAACAGTTTGTATGCCTACTACTTAATGATAATCATTGTTTGCTTTCTATCATGCTCGGGTTCCCTTTTTCTTTACTATTTCATATTGTCTATCCCACTCTGATCATTTTAATCCGTTTGCACTGTTCAATGAGCCCACTCATGCTGTGAACATGCAGCTCTGTGCAATAGTTGCGCGCGCAGACCGTACACAAATGCGCCCTGCAAGGCAGACCCGGCATCAATTCACTACCTGTTAACATTTACCGCCTAGTGTTTATGTGTTGTTGAACAGGTTCGATATCTCTCATTACTGCTTTCCTTGACTTTCATACCTCTTCAGTACACCTGTTCACCTACTCATCAGCAAGTGTACATCTCCATAAGCGTCCCTATCATCGAGAAGTCACTTCTCCCCAGTCTCCATCCCCAAAGCTTCATCTGACCCTCTACCCATAGAAAAGCTCGCCAAGGCAGCAACCATGGCCAGTCGCGACGTCCACACGTCCGAGTTCTTCCAGCGCAAAGTGGACGAGCTCGTAAGGAAGTATGATCGCATCACTGAGCCCAATGCTGTTTTGCAGGCCATCCTTCAGGATCCCGAGAGCATGAGATCCCTCGTCGATGCAGTTCAACGCCAGGCATCGCTCGTGAGACACCGGTCTAGGAACGTGGAAGACGCAGAGATTACTGTCTTTGACAATGCTCTGATGATTCTGTCCAATGGTGGCCATGATACCCAAGACGTCGGTGCGCTCGAACTCTACCTGGCCGAATATCTTGGGGTCTGTACTTTTTCTCCCATTGCCCATGCTAAACAGGCTTTGCATGACTATGACATCCTTCAAGACACTGTGACCAGAGGTGGCTACTTCCCTTCTTCTTTCTCTTACATCTAAATTTAAACATGGACAATTCCTCATTGGCTTCGCAGCAACTGCATCCCCCAGCATCACCGACGAGGCTACAGCTACAGAGGAGCAACCCCAGACTCCCGAGCAAGCGCTCAAGACTCACGTCCAAGACAACGAACACTCTCGTAGGTTACAGCACATACTTCCTCCAAGACCACCCCCCACCCTTGAGGAAATTCGTCGCCGCGAGCAAGTGGAACGCCTAATGCAGATGTACGAAAAGGCCAAGGCAGAATACAGCAAGAAGGACCCCGAAGATATTGACATCAGCTTGGCCAAATACTTCCGCGATACATCTGAGAACACGCTTCACTTTCTGCGAGTCAATGACATGTCGGACCATCCCTTGATCCCCGATATCGAGAATTCATTCGAACGTGCCAAGGGCAAAGCTGCTCAGTTAGCGGGCCGCGGACGTCACTTCGACGAGCCTCGTGCAACTACTTCCACCCACAATCATCCTTCCAAGAAAAGAAGGGGACGTCGTCACCGATACCGTGAGGTTGACTCCTATCGTCCTGGCAAGCAGTGATGGGAGTGTGGAATGGCTGCTGTTGCTTGATAGGCAAGGGTTGGTTTAGTTACTGGCGTTTTGAAGCGTTCTAGCCTCGGTGCATTGGGATGGGCGTTTTCCTGTTTTCAAAATGGATGCTGGAGCTTTGAATTGAATTGCAGCGTGGCAAAGCGGAAAATTCTAGGAACGGAGAGGCGGGAAAAAGCGTTTCTGTTAATAAATAACTATCTACGTAGCTGGCTAGTACTTTGTAGTTAAGAAATTGACATGAAGGCTTGGCGCAAATCGCTGCTTTAGCGGCCACCACGTGCCTCCGATCTGCTTGCTTGATCTTGACTTGCTCCAACGCGTGTACGTAAACCTCCGAGCAGTAACAAATCCATCGCATTCGGGGCGAAGCAGTCAATCCCGACCAGCAATTTTGGTAGTGGTCGGGTCGTTAGACTTCCAGGAGGCATGATTTTCTAAACCATCCCAACCCCTCCCCAATCCACCAAAGATGGCCTCCTTGCGCCCCGGCCCGACCGAGGCCATCTCCGTCTCCAGTGGATCTTCGTCCACACCTCAGTATACGCCTGTCTCCGACCGCTCCGAGAATGATGCTTCTCCCAATCCAAACCGTCCAGCAGCCGGGTCTCTGAGAGTTCAGACGGCCTTCAGCTCCGATGGGGAGTCGTTTACTGACGACGGGTTCGATGAAGGATATGATTCCTACGAAGATGTGCAGCCCCTTTCGAGTAGTAGAATTAGCATACCAAAATACACGAAAGAGGAAGAGGATGGAATCATCAAGCAATTCGATCGCAAATTGGTCCCTTTTCTAGCTCTTCTCTATCTACTTTCATTTTTGGATCGTTCAAGTACGTGGTTTGTCCTTGGCACAGCTAAGACCTTCTATATAACCCATCTAAAGATTGATATCAGCTAACATTAGCCAGACATTGGAAATGCCAAAATCGCCGGTCTCGCAGACGACCTGCATCTCTCTTCATCGCAATATGAATGGCTCCTCACGGCCTTCTACATCACCTACATTCTCTTCGAATGGATGACCCTCATGTACAAACTCGTCCCACCGCACATCTACATCGCTCTCTGCGTCTGCGGCTGGGGCCTTGTCGCATCTCTCCAGTCGCTCGCTACTTCATTCGGAGCTCTCGTCTTCCTCCGAGCAGCCCTCGGAATCACCGAAGCAGCATTCGGCCCTGGAGTACCCTTCTACCTCTCACTCTTCTACAAACGCGAAGAGCTCGCCTTCCGAAACGGCCTCTTCATCTCCGCTGCTCCCCTCGCCTCATCCTTCGCCAGCAGCCTGGCCTGGATCATCGTCCGCGTGAGCGACAACGGCCCAATTGCACCCTGGCGCACCCTCTTCCTAGTCGAAGGGTTCCCCAGCATCGTCGTCGCCGTCTTCGCCTGGATGCTCATCCCCGATACACCAGGGAGCGCCTCATTCCTGAACCCCCGACAGCGCGCCATCGCACAGCTGCGCATGGACGAGCTCAAACCCAACCACAAACCACACCAGCAGCAATCGCCGCAGCGCAAATCCTTCAACTGGAAAGAGGTCAAGAAGACACTTACCGACCCCAAATCCTATATCACGGCCGTGAGCTTCCCCCCACCCCCCAGATTACCACCATTTCTAAACATCCACTCACTCGCAATATAGTTCATGTTCTTCGCCTGCAACGTCGCCTTCAGCTCCATGCCCGTCTTCCTCCCCACCATCATCCAAGAGTAAAACCCTTCCCTTCCCCCTCTCCCTCCCACCAAACGGAAAAACTAACCACCCAACCTCTCAAAAAAAACAGCATGGGCTACACATCCCTAACATCCCAAGCCCTCAGCGCCCCACCCTACCTCCTCTCCTTCCTAACCGTCCTCCTAACATCCCACCTCTCGGACCGCACCCGCACGCGCAGCCCATACCTAATCTTCCACGCGCTGCTCTCTGCAACCGCCTACCTGGCAATCGCCCTAGCGGGATACTTCCACTCGCACCTCCCGCCCGCCATCCACGTCGCCATCCGCTATCTGGCCGTCTACCCCGCCACCTCGGGGTTCTTCTCCGCAATCACGCTCATCATCACCTGGACCATGGATAACCGGCCCGCGAACGAGGGGAAGGGGGCGAGCGTCGCCCTGCTAAATGTTATTGGGCAGTGCGGGCCACTGTTGGGCACGAGGCTGTATCCAGAGAGCCAGGGACCGTGGTATGTGGCTGGCATGACGGTCTGCGCGGGGTGTATGGTGGGTGTGGCGGTGTTGGCGGGCGTGTTGAGGGTGCTTTTGGGGAGGGAGATGAGGAGGGGAAAGGGGGAAAGGGATGGTGATGGTGATGGGAATGATGGGGAGGGGATTGAGTTGGAGGAGAGGGAGGTGCTTATGGGAGGGTTTGGGGGTGGTCAAGGTGGTGGTGGTGATGGTGGGAGTGGGAGGGGGGAGAAGTTTACGTATATTTTGTAGATTGCTGAAATTGGGTAGCCTTTTATAGAAAAAGGATGTTATTCGTAGGTTGAGTAGTGAGCAATGTGTGGAGTGGAATCTAATGAATGTTTAGATAGATACCAAAGTCATGGTCAGACCATGAGGGAATAATTGCTAGATCAATGGTTTCTTTCTTTCACAAGGCTAAGGCCTATCGTATCCATTCAAGCAAAGTAAAAGAATCATTCAAGCAAAACAGCTATCAAATCATCCCATTTACCAAACCAGTTCATTTGACGCGCTTTGAAACCCTCATAACCAAAAAGAATGCAACAAAACTATAAAGCTGGTAATGAGGCCATGAAGAAAGATAAGAAAACCGTATGTATGATACATCAAAAAGAAGCCATGGGTATGTCCCCCCTTTCCCCAAGAGTAAAGAATCATCCATAATAGTAGGCGACTTTTGAAATGCTCATCCCTTCACACAAGGCTATTTATAGAACTCCTCCCCGGACGGACCCTCTCTAAATACCATTTCCCAACGTGTTGTTTATTTATTGCCAACTCCGGTAGTGAATTTTTTTTTTTTCTTTTCTTTTTTCTCTTCGTGATCTTTGACGAGGCAGCGGCATTTTACCATGCGGTGTGGCCACCGTCGATGAGCATGGTGCTGCCGGTCATGAAGCTGCTCGCGTCACTCAGAGCGAAGAGAGCAGCACCTCGGAATTCCTCTGGGTAGGCAAGTCGTCCGAGCATGTTCTCGGCTTCCCAGACGGCCCGGGATGCAGGGTTCTGCTGGAACACCTGTTCCACCATTGGGGTGATGATATGGCCGGGGCACAGGCTGTTTACGCGGATGCCGTGACGGCCCCATTCCATGGCGAGGGACCGGGACAGCTGGATCACAGCCGCCTTGGAGGCGTTGTAGACGGGAGAGGTCATTCCCTTGTTGGCGATCAGACCGCTCATGCTAGCAATGAGAAGGATGGAACCCTTCTGTTGGTAGTTGAACATCTGCCGCGCAGCAGCAGTGGCCGAGTTGAAGACTCCATTAAAGTTGATTTGCATGACTTCGTTAAGAGCCACCTGCGAGTGTTCCAGAGCGCTCTGCAGGTGGTTGATTCCTGCGGCGGCAATCAAGCCATCCAGTCGCCGGTTCTTGCCTGCGATTTCCGCAAAGAGGTCGTTCACTTCAGACTCATCCCGGACATCAATACGGTGGTACTCCAGGCTACCACCATAGTTCTTCTCGGCATGCTCTTGAGCGGCGAGGAAGTCGGGGTGGGGAGTCTCAAGTCGATCCAAGCAGTAGACTGTATACGAAGATTTAGGTTAGAAGTCGCTCCAAGGGATGAATTTGGCTTCGAAGATCCTTGGAATCGTACCTTTCGCACCAGCCTCCATCAAAGCTTCAGCCATCGCCAATCCGAGTCCTCGTCCACCACCAGTGATGGCGAAGACACGATCGTCAAGGTCAAACTCGCGGAACCGGTGGCCCTGCTTGGGCTCGCCTTTTAACGACGGTATCCGGGTTTGGATGTGGTGAGAGCCATGAGAACCTGACCCTGTGGAGTGCAGCCGCTGCGACATAGGCTGGATCATGGCGGATGGTGCCCAAGACCGGGCTGGGGCCAAAGCCGATAGCGACCGGCACAATACAGAACGCATGGCGATGGTGCGTGCAAGATTATTAAGTAAATTAAAGATTAAGATATAGACGAAAACGAAATGCAAATCAACTGTGCACGCAAAGTGAAGAGTCTTTGGCTACCACAGGGGCGCGATGGCTATAGAAAATATCGTCGAGTCTCCATTGTCTTGGTAGGAGATCCTGGGGTTTATAGACCTGGAGAAGACCAACGGACAACAAACCCGTCGAAAGCGCATATCTCCAATTGTCGCACAAGGCATCCGAAAATAGAAGGAATCAGAAAAATATGATGGCCGCGTGATTGCCTTGATGGGTCCATCGTCAGATTCTAGAGCTGCTTTCACGATGACTTCAAGACCCAGACCACATCATCGCCCAAGACCATCCGTGGTACTACGGCTGGTCCATGCATAAGCTATGGCCAGGAAAGCTTGCCACAGGGCAACGCAGGGCGGAAAGGCAGGCATCGGACGCATAGCAGAGCAATAGGGGGGAATGGTGGTGTCTGAAGCAGGCATCGTGACTTCTCTCATTGCTTGGTTGCTGAACCCGGCAAGTCATCCTGATCATTTGATCGAGGGATGACGATCAATCATTCATTAAAGTGGAATGGCCCACCAGAACGGGATATCCGTGTACGGGGAGACCGAGCTGCTGGATCAGATTGGAACCGACGCTGCTGCAATAGCGGTCAGAACAGCTCCATCAGCGACCCTGACAGGCAATCCCCTATATTGGCACCACAGTGAATCAGAGGACTGTTTCTACGGAAAATGAATCCTCGGATGTCTAAGCCGTTCTAATCAGAGAACGATGGGTAATGGTGGTGCAAGAGGTAGCGTGCAAAAAGCAGGGTAGAGCTCTCCCCGGCTTGTAGCTCCGAAGGCTTCCATGGAATGGAACCCTCCAATAACGGTCTCGGCATCGAAGTGGTGGTGTAATTAATCTGCCCTCGCAGCATGGAACCGTCCCCACGGCATCCGCGACCCCATCCTGCAGCAAGATAAGAATACAGTACTTTTGGTGGGATCCGGGACTTGAAGGGCTGCCCTTTTCCGGGTATTCCTTGCTGCGTCGGCCCCGATTTTCATGGGGTCATTCATCCTTCTAGATTTTCTCCCCAGTGCGCCGGTGATCTTCCCCACGCTTTGGGCGGGTTTGAGAATAAGCAAGTATGGCACATGAGAGGGTTCATCATTCATAATCCCAAATGTCGGTGGCCTCAAAATTCGCCGATAGGTTATGCCGGTCTCCCCCTTTCTCTGCTGGCGGCTCTGGGTTGCCGGTTGTTCCCCCAGAACTCCCATACTGCCATACTCCGCACCCCCGTAATTGACCCAGGGAGGGCGTAAGGGTGGTACTTTTGCCACTATCGCACGAAGCTTCCGAATAATGACAACCCGGGATGGTTGGTACCATGGATGACTCCGACGGCATATCATTGTTCAACGATCGGAGCATTCCAGGATGCAGATTCCTCCAGATCTGCCAAGCTCGCCCTGCCTCCCATAGTCGAACCCTTTCTTCTTTTGACCTTTCGCCCCCTTACACAAATAGCATTCGATCCAATCTTTTATTGCGAGACAGAAGTCCAGTGGCAGCCGTATGTTGCAAGACAGGGGTGAGAGCCAAGACCAGGAGTCGGGGGAATGGGAATGGCGGGAGAATCCCAACGTAGACCGAAGGAGAGAAAAGAAAAACAACAATTCCTTGAGTTCCGTACCGGCCAGGGTGACTTTCCTATTTGGGTAATCCGTGATAGGACCGAACACTGATCATGTGCATCGTCAGACTTTTCACGTTTGTTTATCAAATAAGGTGCGCAGAGAACAGCTATCGCGATCCTGCAGGCAGTCTAGACTGCACCGACCGTCTAGATGGGTGACCTTCGTTTCATCTTTGCACAACTGGCCATCTGCCTGGACAAAATTCAGACCTCCGACATCTCCATTCGATACTAATTATGCATGTAAGCATGAACTAGCATGTTAGCAGGGATTAGTGCTTGATTATGTCTATTCAATGAGACAAGAGAGTTTGCCCATCCCGAAGCATATCTGCGAGTCTATCGATTGATTGGGAGTCCCGTGGAGTAAATTGTAGCATCCTGTCAATGCGGCAAGATCGGTTAATGTTAATCGATAATTTGGAGATCCCTTCAGTCTAGACGAATCTTCAGGCCCAACCACACTTCGACGGTGACCATAATTGCAGGGCATTGGGCGTCTTTGCTTGGGAGGAAGAAGACGCGTGGAAGTAAGTACGTATATGTTTACGCACCGGCGCGGACGAGAAAGCAGATCTCGCCCGGGGTCACGTTCCTCCTGGGAGAGCACATGGGCCTAGAACAGAACGCATTACAGACAGAAAGAAGTCTATCCATAGCCACTTTCCTACACCGTAAAGTCATGCTATTCATAAATCATAACGTGACATGACAGTCATATCTGTCTTCGCTGCTCAGTAGCCAGCCAAGGCTCGACCGATCCAAATCCAATGTGCCAGCAATGAGCAGCCTGCTAATTATGCCATTTCACCGAAAGTACCTGCAGCAGTGACTCCAAGTCCCATGCCTCCATTAGCATTACCAAAGTCCAGCTTCATGAGCAGACGGTCAACACCAGCCGCTTTCCGAGGCACGTAGTGAATGGAAGCAGACTCGGTCGCTGAGCTATTAGCTTGGAGCGACCCATTTTCGCGTGAGTCCTTCACAAATTCAAGCATCTGCCGCCCTTCTCCAGATCGGCTGTCATCAATGTCTCGCAGTCGTGCCACAGCGTCCTTAATTCCTGCTTCGACACTAGCCCGCGCAACACTGAGTGATTGCCATATCTCCCTCTCTTCCCCTGCATAGTCTACTAAAGCATCAACAACGCCCTCATCGGTCTCGAGGTCCATGTTGCGCTGGATGCTTTCCAATCGAACTACTAGTGCAATAAAGTGTTCCACGCTCGTCAGTAAGGAACGGAGGGCTTTAGTAAAGGGTATGTCCGTGAGGAAAAGAGATTCAACAAGAGAAAAGAGATAACGACGATGCGCCGCGGTCAATGTTTCAGGGTCATGCCGTTGGACCATCTGACTATCTCCTCCGGAACCAGATTCGGTCGCGTCGTTAATGGCCTGAAAATGGTCGGTGCGCTTACTATTAGCGGAGGACGCGGTTCCAGGTCGTGAGCCCGTTGTTGGGGATCCACCTTTGATCCATTCTCGAAAATGTTGCCAGTTGCCATTGAGAACTTCTCCCTGGAAGTAGCTCCCTAGTTCTGACAGAATAAAGAGGGAGGCACTGCTCGTTGCCCAGACTGGCCTCATCTGCCGAGTCCTGATGTTGTCTCTTTGTCTGCCGAGCTTTAGTCTACTCTGGCCGTAAGGAGTACTGCTGCGAGGTGGACCCCACGGGGATGGATGGATCTTTCGAAGGAAAGTATGCTTCCACAAGTCGCCCAAATGCATCTGGGCGCGTCGGATACCAAGAATGTAAGAGTGAATCTTCGAGTAGACTGATATATCAGAGGCGGACAGAAACAAATCGAGAGGCGAGCGGACGTGGACCGAGAGACATGTTGGAGTGGGGAAAAGAAGATCGTCAAAGGCGACGTCCGAGATTCTAGCATTCATCTCAGATCCAGCAAGATCGGGAGACAGTGCTGGGATATTGTCAACATCCTGTTTGATCGACAGCCGAAGCAGCTCTTTTGCAAGATCAAGCTCATCGTCTGCGGGATCTTCTTCGGTTTGCAGCGAGTAGAGCTCTGAGAGCGTCTGTGACAGAGCAGTCACTACATCTCCTTCCTTAATAGAAAGCCCCCTAAGATCTTCTGATGGGTTATGCCTAGAGGCTGAATGCCCGTGTTTCCGATACCTCTCTTGAATGCGTGTATCCGCATGAGATACCAAAGCCGTTGCAAATTCGCCCCGTCGGAGTAATAGAAAATCGTGGAGAACTGAGAGGACTTCGAGAATCTTGGGTAGTGGGAAAATCTTGGAGAGCGTGCTTTGGGACAGAGAGAACCGGATGGCATTCACGGCACTCGACAGTCTCGACGCTGATATAGGTGATTTCAATGCAGCAAGCTGTTCTATATGTTCCGTGTGCAGTGTGACGGAAGTAGTCGATAAGCCCGCAGAGGGGTTCGCAGCAGGTGCATTGCGCTTTGCTCTAATGAGATTCAACGTTTTGCCGATGAACAAGATGGATGAGGCTGTATGAGCTGTTACAAACTGGGGCAGGAGCTCTGGATGCACGACGAATTGCGTGGCAGCGGGCGGTTGATCATGGCTTGCATTATCGCGTTGTATGAAGAAGTCGGATCCGCCGAGGATGGGGAGATTTCCGTACAGCAACCAGGGGGACAACTGCCTCATCCAAGCAGTCTCTGCGATACCAACCAAATGCAAGGCCATGTCTTTCAGGTCAACGTGCCCTGTTCGCGTTTCCGCCCGAAGGTGGTCGATCAGAGCCACGCCAGTGCAAAGCTGGTCTATATTCTGGGAGTCTATGGGCCATATCAACCTAACCGTCTCCCACAGCCATTCCAATCGTCGCGTCCATGGAGAAAATTCGCCAACAATCGTCGACAATGGCACGATTCCGTAACCGCCCACATAACCACTATCCTCTACCAGAATCGATTTCTCCACTTCTAAGATTTTCCTTTGGAATTCGCCCAGATGACGTGAACTTATGGCCGTCGAGACTGCGCGACAAATAACAGAAGGGTGGGAGGAGGAGATTAAGGCGGTATGTGTTCGTAGTTCGGTATGGAGACGGCTCAGACGGGCAAGAGAGGCGAGGAGGGCTTTCTCCGGTGGGGAAACCAAGGGAAAGGCATCTTCAGAGATAGCACTTCCTTCAGTTTCCGGATTGAAAAGAGGTGATGGTTGACCCGAGAGGGAGAGGAGGATCTCGTGGAGCATTGTGCGCGGATCTCTCTGGAGACGATAAAGTCAGATATCTAGACAGGCCCAGAAGTACCAGAGTAAAGAACGAACCTTAAGGAATGATCCTTATCTTTTCTGGATTTATGACGCTGCCAGTATAGAAGTCCACATCCAAGAAGTTCGTATCGACACATGTGAAGAAGTTACCCTACAACAAGCCTCTCTTGAAAAAAAAAAAAAAAAGGCACGGGTCACCGCGTTGTTCGACGCAGCAAAGCCGCGGCGCGTCGCGAAAGAGGTGCGGCGTAGAAAGGATGACTGAGGATTGAGTCTCGTTGACTGTCAGACATCAATGTTGGACACGATTGAGGCCAGGCTTTATCCGGGACCGATACTCATCTGGATCCGAGCGCCTCCGCCGAAGATGCCTCATCACCGCCGCTTCAGCTGCTTTGGAGCTCATTGTCACTGACTGAATGGGAGTTGCCGACTTGCTGCTGGGCGTGTCCGCGGGGCTCCAGCCAATGAGTGGCGGTAAACCCGCTGAGTCAGCCGCCTACAGCTTGTCCCTCTCTCTTACGTCGCCGCTGAGAGAGCTCGCTGCATTAGTGATCCATCTTTCTTCCTTCTTCCCCGCCTCTTCTCACCCTTTCTATATTATATACTGCGATACCTGCGCCTTTTCTTTCATTCTGCTTCTAAAAGTCTTGCTCTTGCTCTAGAGTATATTGTCCGTCTGTACTTTGCTATCGCTTTCATCTCATCTCGCCTCGCCCGCTTCCGCGTACCTCACCGCTCCTACCCCTCCTACCTGACTCTCTACATCAGGAGTATACTGCCTGAAAGTCTTGCTCCCAGCGGCAAGACTTTCATCTCAAGTTTTCACAATTCCCACCGAAATTCCCGTTCGCGACGCTGCGAAGCTGGGAAAGCGAAGAGCGTCTGCCGACAACAAAGCTCCGCCGGAGAAGAAGATCATGACTGTATGTATGCCCCATCACCCCGGTGATGTCAAAACAACTTCTTTAGGTCCATCTTCCGTTACTGACCAGACTTAGGACGCCAAGATGCAAGTGGATAACCCACAGGAGACTGTGGAGGCGATCAAGCAGGGAGAAATCGATGAGTCGTTGTACAGCCGGCAACTGTAGGTGTTCCATCCTTATATCCGTTTGCCACTACGAGACAGATACTGATGGGTTGTGATGTGTTCAGGTATGTCCTCGGTCATGAAGCTATGAAGCGTATGGGCTCTTCAAACGTGCTTGTCGTCGGATTAAAGGGTCTGGGTGTCGAAATTGGTGGGTACAACATCTTGCGTATCATCTGAACAACTTATTGATTGCTACCAGCCAAGAACATCGCCCTTGCCGGTGTGAAGTCCCTCACATTGTACGATCCTGCTCCTGTCGCCATCTCCGACCTGTCCTCCCAGTTCTTCCTCCAGCCCCAAGACGTCGGTAAGCCGCGTGCCGAGGTCACAGCTCCCAGAGTTGCAGAGCTCAACTCCTACGTTCCCGTCACGGTCCACGAGGGCAGCAATATCGCAGAGAACCTTGAACAGTTAAAGCGTTACCAGGCCATTGTCCTCACCTTGACTCCTTTGAAGGAGCAGCTCGCGATTGCCGACTTCTGCCACAAGAACGGCATCTACCTTACGATCACGGATACCTTCGGTCTCTTTGGCTATCTCTTCAACGACTTTGGAAAGAACTTCACTGTCGGTGATGCGACAGGTGAGGAGCCCGTCAGTGGCATTGTAGCGGCTATCGACGAGAATGGCTTGGTCTCCGCTCTGGATGAGACCCGTCACGGCTTGGAGGACGGTGATTTTGTGACTTTCTCCGAGATCAAGGGCATGGAGGGTCTCAACGGTTGCGCTCCTCGCAAAGTTACTGTGAAGGGACCTTACACCTTCTCTATTGGTGATGTCTCTGATCTGGGGACATACCACAGTGGTGGCATCTACTCTCAAGTCAAGATGCCTAAGTTCATGGACTTTGCTCCTCTTAGCGAACAGATCAAGAACCCCGAGTTCATCATTTCCGACTTTGCAAAGTTTGACCGGCCACAGCAATTGCATGTTGGTGTCCAGGCACTTCACAAGTTTGCAGAGAGCCACAATGGCGATCTTCCCCGCCCCCACAATGATAGCGATGCCCAGGACGTGTTCAAGATTGCCAATGAACTGGCTTCAAGCCTCGAAGAGAAGGTGGAGTTGGATGAGAAGCTCATCAAGGAGCTGAGCTACCAAGCCCGCGGTGATCTGAACCCCCTGGCTGCCCTGTTCGGAGGCATTGCGGCGCAGGAGGTCTTGAAGGCGGTCTCTGGAAAGTTCAACCCTGTAAAACAGTGGCTTTACTTTGACTCCTTGGAGTCTCTTCCCACATCCATCACCCGCTCTGAGGAGGCTTGTAAGCCTCTCGGCACCCGCTACGATGGTCAAATTGCAGTCTTCGGCAAGGAGTTCCAGGACAAGATTGCCAACGTCAAGCAGTTCCTTGTGGGAGCAGGTGCCATTGGGTGTGAGACGCTGAAGAACTGGGCCATGATGGGACTTGGAACTGGTCCTGAGGGAAAGATCATTGTGACCGACATGGATCAGATCGAGAAGAGTAACCTCAACAGACAATTCTTGTTCCGTAGCCGGGATGTTGGCAAGCTCAAGAGCGAGTGCGCTTCCGCTGCTGTGCAGGCAATGAACCCTGAGCTAAATGGTAAGATTGTCACGCTCCGGGACCGTGTCGGACCCGACACAGAGCACATCTTCAACGAGGAGTTCTGGGAAGGCTTGGACGGCGTTACGAATGCCCTCGACAATGTGGACGCAAGAACCTACGTCGACCGTCGTTGCGTCTTCTTCAGGAAGCCCCTCTTGGAGAGTGGAACTCTCGGTACGAAGGGCAACACTCAGGTTGTCCTGCCTCGCATCACTGAGTCCTACTCTAGCTCCCAAGACCCGCCGGAGAAGACCTTCCCTATGTGCACTCTGAAGAGCTTCCCCAACCGGATCGAGCATACTATTGCTTGGGCCCGGGACCTTTTCCAGACATACTTTGTCGGCCCTCCCGAGGCTGTCAACATGTATCTGTCCCAGCCAAACTATATCCAGCAGACACTCAAGCAGGCCGGTAATGAGAAGCAGACGCTGGAGCACCTGCGTGACTTCCTGGTCACCGACAAGCCCCTGACCTTCGATGACTGTATCGTTTGGGCCCGTAACCAGTTCGAGGCGCAGTACAACAACGCTATCCAGCAGCTACTCTACAACTTCCCGCGCGACTCCAAGACATCCACTGGGCAGCTTTTCTGGTCTGGACCTAAGCGTGCGCCTACTCCGTTGAAGTTTGATAGCGCAAACCCCACTCATCTTTCTTTCATCGTTGCTGGTGCCAATCTCCACGCTTTTAACTACGGCATCAAGAACCCTGGCGCCGACAAGGCCTACTACAGGAAGGTCGTTGACAACATGATCGTTCCCGAGTTTACCCCCAAGTCCGGCGTCAAGATTCAAGCGAATGAGAACGATCCTGACCCGGACGCTCAGGCCACTGGCTCGTCCTTTGACGACGGCCAGGAAATCCAGCGCCTCGTGGACTCTCTTCCATCCCCCAAGGATCTGGCTGGCTTCCGCTTGAGCCCTGTTGAATTTGAGAAGGATGACGACACGAACCACCACATCGACTTCATCACCGCCGCCAGCAACCTGCGTGCCGATAACTACGATATCCCCCAGGCTGACCGCCACAAGACTAAGTTCATTGCTGGCAAGATCATTCCTGCCATTGCTACTACGACGGCGTTGGTGACTGGTTTGGTTGCGTTGGAGCTGTTCAAGATCATTGACGGCAAGGACGACATTGAGCAGTACAAGAACGGATTCGTGAACCTTGCGCTTCCATTCCTGGGCTTCAGTGAGCCTATTGCCAGTCCCAAGGGCAAGTACATGGGTAAGGAGGGCGAGGTTACAATCGACCAGATCTGGGATCGCTTCGAGGTGGATGATATTCCTCTCCAGGACTTCCTCAAGCACTTCTCCGACATGGGATTGGAGATCAGCATGGTTAGCTCTGGCATTAGCCTTCTGTACGCCAGCTTCTATGGGCCGTCTAAGGTTAAGGACCGTCTTCCTATGAAGTATGTACCCCCGATAACCACAGTGTGTATTACAGTACTAATCGCTTATGATACAGGATGAGCAAGTTGGTGGAGCACATCAGCAAGAAGCCGGTTCCGGAGCACCAGAAGAACGTTATCTTCGAGGTGACTGCGGAAGATCAGACGGAGGAGGATGTTGAGATTCCGTATGTGATGGTGAAGTTGAGAAAGTAGAAGGGGCAACCGGCACGAGAGCAGAAAAGGGCCCGTGATCTCTCTGGATATGTCCGTTTACGCACTAGACGCACAGTATCATAGTTTTTATCTTTTCAATCAAATTCTTCCAGGAATATACTACTGTCTATGTTCCGCGTTTTTCGAGAATAATCTTGACTAAGTAGCAGAGTAATCAGCTAGTTAACTAGTGATTCCGCGAAGGCTAGGGATTGATTAATCAATTAATTAAGTTAACTAACGTAGTTACTGAGCAAGCTGTTTGTCAGCGGGAGGCTCAACCTCCCGTTATTAACGCCTCCGTAAGCAATGCTGTAAGCAAAGCATCACGTCATTGGCTCCCCGCACCCCATCGGTCAGCGTCTGGCCTCGTATCGCCTCGTCCTACTTTTTGTATAACTATGAACGAGCTCCCTGCCCCTCCTAGCCATTGCCATTGTTCCTCATGTTTCCTGCTCTCCATCGACTTCGACAAGTCTCGCAACATATCTTGCAACCCAAAGCTATCTCCAGCTTTCCACGTCCAGCTACCTGCAGAAGGTCTTTTTTCCCCGCACAGCCTATCTTGAATTCAGCACGCACCATGGCTGTAAGTCACCGTTATTCCCAGCTGTCCCTCCAAATAGTATCAATTTTTTAGAACTAACAATCCGCGCTCACCTAGACCGGTAACAGTGGCAAGATCACAGACTGGGTCAATCCCAATGATAAGTCGGGCGAATTCAAGCGCCAGACGTCAGTCTTCCGCAATTGGATCTCCAGAGAGCCTGGCGCTCAATTTCCTCCCGAGAAGGGCCGTTATCACCTTTACGTCTCTTACGCCTGTCCTTGGGGTGCGTTTCTCTTTCTTCCTCCGGGGCTAATTATCAACATACTAACGCCACAATCCCTCGCACAGCCCACCGGACTTTGATCACACGCAAGCTCAAGGGTCTTGAGGATATCATCTCCTTCACCTCCGTCCACTGGCACCTAGGAGAAAAGGGTTAGTTCTCACACATACACACATATTGAGCAATCCGACGGGAAAAAAAAAACTCACAGAATCAAACAACAGGCTGGCGCTTCGCAACTGCAGAAGAACAACAACCCGAAGAAAATGTCACCACCGACCCTCTACACGACTACACCCACCTACGCGAAATCTACTTCTCCAATGACCCCGACTACACCGGCCGGTTCACCGTCCCCGTCCTATTCGACAAAAAAACCAACCGCATCGTAAGCAACGAGGTAAGCACATCCCTCTCCCTCCCACCCAAAGAGAGTGCAAAGCGTTAATCTTCCTCCGACAATAACCAGAGCGCCGAAATCATCCGCATGCTCTACTACGAATTCGACGACCTCCTCCCGGAAACTTACAAATCCATCGACCTATTCCCCTCGTCCCTTCGCACGGAGATCGATACCTCCAACGAATGGATCTACAACGACGTCAACAACGGCGTCTACAAGTCCGGCTTCGCCACCACGCAAGAAGCATACGAGAAGGCCGTCACGACGCTGTTTTCCTCGCTCGACAAAATCGAGGCCCATCTGTCGGATTCGAAGAACGCGCCGTACTTCTTCGGTTCGGAGATTACGGAGGCGGATATTCGTCTGTTCACGACAATCATTCGCTTTGATCCGGTCTATGTGCAGCACTTTAAGTGCAATATTCGGGATATTCGGTCCGGGTACCCGGCTATTCATCGCTGGTTGAGGAAGTTGTATTGGGATGTGCCGGCTTTTAAGGAGACGACGAACTTTGAGCATATCAAGTTCCACTATACCAAGAGTCATAAGCAGATTAATCAGTTTGCTATTACGCCGGTTGGGCCGTTGCCGGATGTTCTGCCCAAGGATGAGGAGGTTAGGGCTGTTAAGGGTGCTTAAGGGGGATCTCTTTGGTGGGTTTAGGTCATGTTTATGATAACGATACTATGAGGTCTCTAGTATAATTTGCAAATATGCAAGTTGTATTTCAGCTAAATGTGCAAGCTATGTATCTCTCTATATCCATGTATCAACGCAGCAAGTGCGGTGTGAGGTATGACCCTACGTACAATTAGGGGAAAATGGTAAAGGGAAAAAAGAAAACAGTCCACCCCGGCGACACCCCCCATAAAATTCAATGTACAGAAGACAAAAGCAATATGAAACTCCATAGCAATGCTTTGTCGCGCGACGCCCTGCCATGCTAGTCAAGCCGGTCATGCGACTCTCCCAATCCGTGGGGAAGCTGGCTATCCAAGTGAAATAGTATGTAGATTTCACGATACCAGCAATGAGTGAGAAGTAGTCAAAGCCATCGGGCTGTTCAGCGAGAAAGATGCAGCAATAAAAAAGAGGGACGGGAATCTCTGACGGGGAGTGGTGTGTGGATAAAGGACAGATCCACATTATCGCCCTAGAGAGATGTTGATGTGCCCGTGGGGGCTTTATGGGTATCTCGAACGCAATGTCTAAAAACGGTGGTAAGTAGAAGGAAATGCGAGAATATGGCGAAACAACTGGTAAAGTTCCAAGCCATGGCATCAATACAGCCAAATTTGTCTCTGAGCGGCAAGGCCCCGAGACTTGTTCTGCTGAAGCCGTCTATTTCAACCCGAGCATCCGCTTCGAATTTTCATAGACAACATAGCTGATGGACACCGCAGGTGCGACCTTAAGAAGATTCGGCGTCAGCCCTTTATAGAAGCCACGCAGTCCTTCAGTCTGTATAGTCTTGCGAGCGACGTCTCCAATGCCGTTGTAGGTCGCGGGATGCAGAACGGTGCCCTGAGCTTGCATTCTCGTCCTGAGAACGTTGAGTGGATAAACAACTGAAGCACCAAATCCTCCACTCATAGCGCCAATCGCTCCGGTGGTGAAGTTGTTCAGAGGCACATCGTCCTCATGACAATTGTTCAGGCGAGCTTTCCGCGCTATTAAGGCTCGCTTCATGTATTCGAAAGTAGACAGATCGATGGCAGCGTAAGGAAACATGCCAACAAGACCAAGTGGCAAGCCACGGAAAAAGCCAAGGAGGCCGTGCTTGCACCACACCTTTTTGAACGTAGCTGCGATGAGCTGGTTTCCCTTCAGGCCACCTTCGACGGTGTCACACTGCATGCGACTAATAGAAAGTTAGTTTCGTAGAACGAGCGAAGGATACCAATGGCTGAGGACATGACTTACAACTTCAAGGTATCAAGAGGGTAGACGAAGCACCTGCATATGCGTTAGATCGGCTATATTGATGGAAGTATGCTACTGCGACGTACTGTGCAACCATTCCACCGCAGCCTCCAGACAGGAACTGCGATACAGGCATGAGGCGTTTGGGGTCACCATGGCCCTCCAGGCGGGCGAAAGCACGTTTTGCAGACTGTCGCACGTCAGTCACATGAAGACCAATTTGGGTTGCATCGAGCAGTTAACTCACTTCATAAGCACCGAACTTGATGGCTGACTCGGGCATGACTTTTACAACGTTCAGACCGTTGCCTGTGACAGTGAGAAATATGTCATAACATAAATTAACGAAGAGTCTTACCTGCGAATAGACTCCGGATACCGCCCGCACGCCACAGATCTTTCACAGCTTCGACGAGGGTTTTCGACGCTTTCCCCGCTGCACGCAAAGGAGCGCCATCCTTCGCTGCGCGGACAGCTGAAGATTTCACGCCGGTCTGAGCAATGAGATAGACCTTAAGTCGGTCTAAGGGTGCGGTCGCTGTCCTGGACACTGCGCCTGCGATACCACCGGCAACGAAGTAACCTAATTGAGGAGTGCTTTCGGTCAACTTCTGTTCATAATATCGGAAGGACATCCACATGGCGACGATCCTGGGTATGGGCAACCACTCCAGTTCCAGGTCATTGTCTAAGGGTGTAAAGTCATCCTCAAACGCGACCCCAACCTTGGACACGCCGGTAGCTTCCGCGTAGGCTGAAGGAATCAAGAGTGTCAAAATGTGCACTGGGAAAACGTTGGAGAGGAGGTTCTGTAAGGCCAAGATATAACGTTTAAGAAACGAGTGGTCTGTACCTAAGCCCTGCAGATCATTGATGTGGACATCTCCTTCCGGGTTAAGATTTCCCGTGGCGGTGTAGTATGACAAGACAGCGCGGAGGTTAGAGGACGAGTAGGCCGGCAGGAAAAGAAGAAAATCCCTGGATACCAACAGGTCATTAGCTGGAGACTCCAGACACCTTCAGCTGACCGCTATAGTACGTACCTCCACTCCGCATACGAGATGACGCCATCTTTATTGCTATCGACCTCCGCGAAGAATTCTTCCAGCCTTGCGTTGGAGACCGTGACCCCGGATTTCGAAAAAGCGGTCTTGAGCTCATTCTTATCGATCTCGCCGTTATGATTGTGGTCTATGCTCTCGAACAGTTGCCATAGGCCGATTTCGGTATGATCCACGAAGGTCCGGAATTCTGGTGAACATTAGGTTGGAAAAACGACTGGCGTCTATAGCCAGTGACACTTAAGGAGGATATGAGACGCTATGGGAGGTGCGCCGCATGATCTTACCAGGATAATCTATGTAGCCATCCCCGTTGGTATCCACTGCCTTAATGATATCGCGTAACATAGGGTCCGCATTCTTGAGTGCTGTTGCATCCCAAGCCGTCAGGTCATCTGCACCGAGCCGCACGGGATCATGTCATGATCGTGACTTACGGTGATCGATCTTTTTTAATCCTTTCTTTAGACCATTGAAGTCAAGATGACCTTCACCCTTCGTATCCAAGCGCTGCCAGAGTTGGGCGACTCTCTGGTCCCGATCTTTTTGCGACTCGCCAGTGTCCATGTTCGGTGAAAAGTGATTCTTATCACAACTGCGTCATTATTTTTTTAAGGAGGGGTCGGCGGATTTGAAGAGGAGAGATTCCCTGTCGCAGCAGGGCAGAAAGTGAAGGTGAGTGAATAATTTGGGCATCGAAAATCACTGGCAGGTGGAATTATGAACGAAGTGTTAATCCGGCGTTCATGATTGTCGATTCAAGGTCAGCTGGGGTGAGGCCGACAGCCGTGAGAAATCCAGGCGCGATGATTTGCTTTCCTTACGACATGAACCGGAAGAAAACTAGACCCCGGCCCGGTCGTCAACCAAATCTCCCGGCTATTCCCGTTTAGGCGCCTTTCACTCCCGCCTTTCAGTCTTGCCTCCAGTTCGGCCCCTTCGGAGTCCCATCTCCGACCTGCACAACATCAAACCTCATCTTCACTCCGATTGCTGAAAAGGGGTATGTGTTGCCTTGATTCAGGCTGTTACTCCCCTCATCAAAACACCCTCCAGCTCTCCTGAGCTAGTGGGTCGTATACCATACCAGCCTCACTTCCACCAATCCCCCCGGATGCCCAAAGCCAACTGGATAATCTGTACCCATCCAGCACCTCTTAGGCCCAAAGGGAAAAGCACTATGGTGGCTGTTGCTACCTCTTCTATACTAGATTAATTCCCCCACACGATACCCCCCCTTCCCGCTAGACTCCCAACAATGGCTGCTAATTACTGGGCATCAACTCAACGCCGACACTGGCTCTTCACGAGGGAGAAGTTAGCAGAGATTCGGGAGAACTTTAGAGAGCGGGACATGGTCGCTCATAGTCAGTTTCCTTTGCCGGATCAAAGGTTGCTGAATATCTACTTCAGTCAACGTAAGATAACTTAGTATATACCCTAAATCGGTGGGCATCTAAGCTCACCAGGCCAACAGAACTCATCAAACTGGGGAAACGGATGTCTACTCGACAACAAGCACTTGCAACAGCGCAAGTCTATGTCAAGAGGTTCTACACTAAGAACGAAATTAGACATACAAATCCGTATCTTGTCGTCACTACTGCCTTCTATCTGGCTTGTAAAATGGAAGAATGCCCTCAACATATTCGATTTGTCGTCGGAGAGGCTAGGGGTCTCTGGCCAGGTACGGATCACTCCCATATATGCACCCTGTGCGCTTCCCGCTGATGTGGCTACAGAGTTTATTGCCCCAGATGTGTCAAAACTAGGGGAATGCGAGTTCTCTCTGATATCGGAGATGAACTCTCAGCTTATTGTGCACCACCCATATCGAACATTATCAGAACTTCAACCCGAGTTGTCACTTACGTCAGATGAAGTTGCTCTCGCGTGGTCTGTAATAAATGACCACTATCTCACCGACTTGCCGCTCTTATATCCGCCTCACGTCATCGCTGTCATGGCGATTATCGTCGCCGTGGTCTTCAAGCCCAGCCAAACGAGCTTTCACGGGTCAGCAGCACCACTAGCCAGCGCGATGCGCGATGGCGGCATGAACATTCTTGCCGCATTGGGGGAGAAAGGCGGCAACGGCCCTCCTCCCCGCATTCAGCGACTTATAGGATGGCTTGCCGAGAGCGAAGTGGACATCAAAGCCGTCATAGAGTGTACTCAAGAGTTGGTGTCGCTGTACGAGGTGTGGGAGCAATATAGCGAGAAGCATTGCAAAGAGCTTCTGGGACGGATGGTGAAGAGCAAGAACCTGGACAAATGAACATACAATTCTCATGCACATACATAGGGCTTCCAAGCGGCGTTCAAGGGGTTAAGTTGTGTTATTACGAAAGCATGTCATGCGCGAGCGATACTGTTCTTCAGATCCATATTTCGGGGTCTCGGCTGGTTGCAGATTGTTTCAAATCAGTTGCATTATCGCATAGTCCAAATGGATGCCATGGAGAATATAATGAGGTACTATAGATATATCATAGCGAACAAACAGATTCTAGAGAAACAAACGTTCATCCTCCCTCCGGGCCAGACTGAATATCCCGCATGTCGGTGGCCGCCTTCAACAGATATCTACACATGACGCACCGTACTATTTATTCCACCCTGGAAGCCACGAATTCCATGCAATTTATACTATCCCACGGACATACAACACCCCCTCCAAGTGCTACTCCCTGACACATGCCCAACCACAAACCATCATATAACTTAGATCGTATCCAAGTAATACAAACCAACCCACCCACCCAGCAACTAAGCTTCCCAAATCCCCATCACCACCACCACCACCACCACCAAGACCCCGTAAGAACCCAATAACAAACAAGTGCAAAAGGTCACCCCTTTACCTCTTCTCCTGCATCAGTACCTGCCTAGTGCCTACAGTACGTCCTACCCAGCTGTCAGAATGTGTGGAGTTTCTCCCTCTGAGTCAGTAAGCAAGCCAATGTTGAACGGCATGTATGATTTGACTTTCAGTTCTACCAAGGTAAGTTCTATCTAGCTAGCTGTTTGCAGTAGTGTTTACGCAGTCACTAGTCTAGTGCCCTTGTTGCATGCCGATGGTATCTAAGTCTAAATGTTGCATACATACATACATACATACATACATACATACATACATACATACGCTCGTTTACAAGGATGTATGTATGCAAGTCCTGGTTTGTTCCTAGAGGAAGATTCTGGAATGCGTGGGGAATTCGCATTCTGGCATGTGGTCGTACTTGGTCTAGATAGCTACTACGTAGCTAGGGATTGATTGGGGGAGTGGAGGGATCGAAGGGATGTATGTTATGCTTGGGTGCGTGGATGTCAATCCGACTGTGTACTGTACGTGATTCAAATAGTGACCACTTTGTTTGGGTGAATCGGGCGTTTTGTGTGACGCTATTTCTGTCAGTTTGGAGGCTATGCTACGAGATGATCATGGTGGATGGAATGTATCGGGTATATCCGCTGAATGTAGTATGTAACCTTCAAGCTTTTTTTCTCTCTATCTACTCTAACCACTAGTTGAGAATTAATTTTGCACGGGGAACCGATCACGCAGTTCAGTCAAGCAGTAGTATTGACAATTTGACCCGGGGCTTACAAGGTTTATCCCTCGAACCTGGAGAGCTATTTCAATTGAGTTTCAGTCTGGGTTGACCCGTGAATATTCTCGATTTACTCTCCCGTTTGCAGGCGTGACACAGGTACCACTTCAGCCATGCACTCTGTTCTGCTTCGCCGATAGATCCATACATACATGAACGCTACAACTCGGATCTCTTTCAGCAACGGAGGATATGATGTCGTTTATTGGACACCTCTAATGCAACATGGGCGCTTCCTGAGACCGTTGGCTAGATTAGGCAGGAAGATCGTTGTTTCATATCCCTTGCTTCGGGGTACGTATGTGGGCGTAGATACACTTGCGCACAATTCCAGTCTTGTTGTTGAGGGGCGAGTACCCCCCGAGACGGATGGACAAGGACTATCGTCCTATACACAGGCGAGATTAACAAATATTCCGGAAATGGCGTCTGGAGTGCAGCAGATCCCGCTTCACGGCCCCCCGCTCATCAAGCCATGTACGTATACTTGTGTACACTCCAGGCCGTGTTGCGGGCTGTGTATCTAGGCCTTTCTTCATAGCGCTGCAAGACATTCCTCCCAACAGGGGTGTTTGTATGAAATCTGGTAAAAGAGAAATACCAGTTCAATACCAAGAATACCATACATACGGCAGGGATGGAAAGAGTCCGATCATAGTTAGTAGCGGCATCGGATGCCTCGAGGCTACTTTCTAGTAGTTATCGGCAAAACTTACTTGCTGTATGGATCATCCCCCATAAGCATGATCCAGTGACTCTACCGGATTTTTCTCAGTGCGCCCCTGCCTTGGGCATCGAGATGCACCTATCATGAGATGAAGATCATACAACAAGGTTCCTGGTCCCGAGAGGGGCAACTCCAGACTGCGTTGCATTCCCCATCTACCGAAAGGGCGGTGAGGTGGTCAGATCTTAGCAGGGACATTATCTTGCCGAATGGGAACAGAAATCATGTCTCATGGGGGGCTGGCTTCTCAGCAGGTTTACTTAACACAGTTTGGACACGGGAGAAAAGTGTGAGAATACTACTCTGGCATCCATGGCTAGTAATGCCCAATCGCTTGTGCAGACAGGAAAGCGCCCCCATTCCATCCCAGGTCGCTTGAGAGTGTGTGTACGTTCCTCCTACCTACCCTCGGGACTGCATCCTGCAGTAGTCTGCAGGTTTGGAGCAGCTGTGACCCTGCTAGCATGCGTTCTAAGCCCGATCCATAATATATTATGCTGCCATGGCTGTTCCAGTAGCCGCCATCATTCCTACCGGTCTGTTCCCTTCCCCCCTCCTCCTCCTCCCCTAGATGCATCCCCATCCTGCATTTACGCTACCGTTGACCAGTGATACGGCGTTTCAACCCCTGGGTTTAGCGTGTGCACTGGAGGGTCCAGGCGTCGGGGAAGACAGACCGCAAACTTGTTCTGCGTTTATTGGAAACGAGTACGTACTACTGTAGATAATGAAGTACACCTATGTGTCGTGACAGCAGATGGGTTTACGGGGGATACTAAAATCTACATTGCTGCTATTCTTGTGAACGTTTACTGCATGGAGGAAGGTGCAGGGCCATGCAGTGGTCGTAGCGCTTGCCCCATGTGGATGGATGGGAAGAAAGGGAGCAGATCCTTAACAGTGCAGAGCAGCCAAGCCCAGTTCAAGATTCGGTTCCTTTGTTGACGGCGTTCTCCGTACCTGATTTATTTTTGAGATGAATAATGAAGAGGAGGGACTCAAAAACAAACAGTGCCTATATGGGCATAAATCCTAAACGAGAAAATCATTTGTTTGTTTACTGTATTACTATTCCGTAATATATTTCTAGTCCGAAAGTACTACTGACAATAGTATCAGCTGACTATCCGCCCAAAATGGAGAAGATCCAGATATTGAAGTGGAGGATTAATTTCTGTTATGGAATACTTGTCGAAGCCGTCGAAGGGTGGCCATGGCAGGAGCTGCCCGTTATTAATCTCATTAGTTAATGACAATCTTCAATGGTTGGGGGGAAAAGACAAAGTAAGATGGCCCGAGTCCCGCCCGCCCACTCTAAGGAGGGCGCCTCTCCCTGAAAGTTGAAGACAAATTAGGGGAGGAGATAATGGGTAAACGGCAATAGTAGGTAGGCTTAGAGTGGAAAAGGAGCGCCCCCCGACGAGACCAAGTGGCACGGTTCAAGGGAAAGGTACCGAGAATAACAGCAACGAAAAAGAGGGTAGCTAGTCTGGTGGGGCTCACCACATTTTTTGCAAATCATTACCCGCAGGTGTCGTAGTGGGCATTTTGCCTGCTTGCCAGCGCATGCCTGTCTTCGGAAGTGGGAGCCACATACTACTACTGTGTACTCCCTCCTACCTGCCCTTTTCCCTTTCTGAACACGAAGTGATTTGGGGTTCGATACCTGACGAGGTACAGGTACGACGGGAAGGATCCTCCTGGTGACCTTGAAAACGACCCAACACAGAGAGAGAGCCACTACAGAGCATTGCCACGATGTTCTTTGCCATTGCCATCGTCATCATCCATGCATCCGCTGGTGGGCGAGATGGATCGATTGATACTCCATTAGCAGTGCAGATCCACAGGTGTGTACAGACAGTGTTCTCTATCTAACGGCAGTCTGCATCATACAATTAATGAGTGTATGTAAGTAGGCATCATTGCACCATCATCTGTAATACTCATGGGCTGTTCATAACGGTAATACAGCCTTAAAGTCCAGGCTGAGACCCGGTCTTCATCCGACAGCCGCTTGCGCTCGTCACGGTTAGATCGAGTACACCCATATATTAGGCGTCAAGGGAGAGGGTGCGCCGTTCCATTCCTGAAGGGGACTAGATCGCTTCCTTTCGACGTCACTAAGACCCGCTTGGTAGCCGATTGGAGCAGTCAAAATCGGTAGTTTATTGGCTCAAATGACAGTGGCTGCCATGAGCCCACTACAGAGGGACATGATTGGACATCGGGGCATTAACTTGCCACTGAGGATCCATTGACAGGGATCTGGTTGGTCCTCACCCTGCCCTAAAACTGGGTGCGTGACCAGGTTAGCGCGGGAAATCTGGGACTAGGATGTAACAGACTTACAGACGATACCACGGATACTTTACAGGCGCCTCGGCGAGGGAACCACTTGTAACCAGTAATGTCCTTTCACTCCCTCCATACTCGTGGATGCCACCCGTAGGAAAAGGCTGTGTGTGTGTGTGTGGTAAGTACGGGTCACGTATGTTCCCTTGCGGATCTCCACCGACGTGCACTTTTGCTCAGCCCCAGTCGAATCACAACTGCAGCCCCTCTTGCTCTCAGTCTCTCGCCTCCGTCCGCTCCGGGCGCTGCGACTCTTTTCTCGCTCCCGGTCTTCTTTTCAACTCTTGTCCCGCCATCCGTTGATGATTCCCCATCCCACAACACTAATCGCAAATTCGCCCGCCCCCCGATCTCTTACACTTTCACTCTCGCATTCACTTCCCATTATCTCTCTACCCATCTTTGCTCCCACAATCTTCTCTTTTTCTTCCTTATTTCAAATCCGCTCCTCCTGCTTCCGCACTCTGCATTCCGTCCGACCGCTTGTCATTCTTCCACCTTCCTCCGTCTCTTTTCTTTGTTACTCTAGTCCGTCCGGAGTTGCGTACTGTCGGGATTCCTGAGCGCTGGTCTTTGTTTATATCCGCCCTCGAATTCCTCAGCATACCCTTCCTACCGATATAACTTCGCTTTACCTTTTGTTGCGTTCGTTTCGCCACAACCACACAACAAAATGTCTACGTTCTTCTACGGTCACCAGCAACAGCACCAGCACCAGCAACACCCTCATCACGGTGCTGCCGCCCACATGGCCAACTCGAACAACCACCATGGGGGTCGTTCCCGTCGGGGACCTAAGATGGCTGCCCAGAATGCTCAGCGCCAGTTCAGAGGTGTCAAGAGCATGCGGGAGCTTGCTGAGGCCCCTGCTGTGACTGCTTTCCGTGCCCGTTTCGAAGCTGGACGGTCTTTTGACCTGGATGACGACCTGGAGTTTTGCCCCAGTCTCCTGACGGAAGATGATGTATGTTTGTCGAACCCGGCCTAGTACTCCCACCCTCTTCTCTCCATTCGTTCGTACTACGGATATCTTGGCTGCCGACCCCGTACTTTAAAAGGAACCGCTTGTTGACCCCTGATTTACAGCTGCACTCCATTCACTCTGCTTCCTCGGATCGGTCATCTCTCTCCAGTGGATCTCCCGATACTTCTCCTCTCCAGCACCAAATCCAGCCTGTCCAGCAGGTCACTCCCTCCATCTCCCTGTCTCCTGCCTCCAGCAACTCCTATGTTCACTCAGGGGTTAGCGGTAATCTTAATCACGTGAACTTCCAGCAACCGTCCGCAGTCCGCACCCGCAAGGTTATCCCGATCGTCAACCCCAATACTGGCATGACCTTGACGAGCCCGCCCACGTCGATCTCCCCGGCCTCGATGCAGAATGCCCAGCGTCGGTGGTGAGGACCGCGATTCTGGCAAGTCGCCGCTCCATTTGGCAAAGGGCCGCTTAGGCTCATAGCATGTTCACCACGTTCGTCCGGCTTCTGCATCATCGGGCTCCCTAACCGCGGGTTATAATTGTTACTGCTTTGTTTTTGCTTTCTGTTCGACACGGCCATCGCATTCTTACGATTCGACTGATCTTCCCTTCTCCTTTTTTTGGCTTCACGAGCGCAAAAACAGCAAAGGATAAACCAGTGTTTCTCTGTATATACACCTTACTTCGATGACGACTCGAGCAACTTATACCTAGACTGATGCTTTCGGCTTCCTGCGAGCGACGGCGCCTGCGATATTCGATTTTTGCATTCCACCTCAAACGATACCTTGTTTTTATCTTACGGTTAGGGAAACCCTTTTGTGCTTTGACCTCGAGTTTTGGCCGCGATGATGTATAGAAAGCGCGGCGGTCGGCCATTCAGGCGCGCATCTATGGACCGGAGTTGCTTTTTTGGTTTCCCACGGCGGCTATGCCAGATTTGCTGTTGGCGGTTATACCTCATCTTTTCGGCTTGGTGTTTTGTCAGATTTTTGGGTGGGATGGATCATTTTCTCATGCTTTTCAGGGATTTAGAAAGGCGGAAACGATATATACGTCTGCATTGATTGGGCTTTGCTGAGTTGTTTGGGATGTTTGGCTGGTTTCGACCTACACTTCGCATATGTCTTCATTTCTTGAAAAATTCTGTTTGTTATACCATGTATATGGGTTGGTTGGGGAATTGGTGACACGCGGTGCTTGTTACTTTTCAGGTCAACTGGCTGTGAAAATCCATGGACTGGATGAGGAGTTTTTCTTTATTTCCTTATTTTTGCTGGGGGTCACACTCGCCTTCTTTCGCGAGATAGACCACTGTCTTGATGGGAGTTGTCAGTTGACGACATAATTCGCTTCTGTTTGCCTCCACGTTGATTCGTTCGGATGTTTTCTTAAAGTCATGTTCTTCGACTCCTGGGGACTCCCGGAGAATGTGATGCAGTGTATGATCTTCCTGATTCTGTTCGCTTCTTGGGTATTCCGTCTCTTACCATATCTCCTTTGTCTATACGCTTTTTGGCTGGAACTATGGGGGGTAATGCCTATACATAGTTGTGAAATTAGCTTTGGACTTCATTCAGTCGTGAGACTCTTGCACAGTAGATGTAGGGATGAAAGTAGTAGTTTTGTGATAATTGCGTCGTTGTAGAAATTCGCCACATGACCTCATAATCTGGGGTGATATCGTATCATGCAGGTTGCAGATTGAGGGGCAATAGAGCACAGTGGTTGCTATCGCAACGGCTAGTTTTTTTGATGAAATGGTAGTTATCAGATTGCCGTATTTTAGTTGGGGTTAAGTGGTCGACGCTCGATGCTGTTCAGAGGCACAGGCGGATATATATTCATAGGCTCCGAAACGGGTGTGGACCAACCCATAACGTTCACAAAACCAGAGCATTGAGAGCATCTGAATGCAGCGAATATATTCAAATGCTGAGAAAGCAGTAGAATATGAAGATAGTCTCTTCCTCACTCATGTGGTGATCCCCTACTTATCTGGTTGTAATGGCATAGGAGGAGTGGTCAAAGTACGTGATGTCATATCCTTGATTTGCGGCCTCGAACCTGGAAGACACTGAAGTCTCTTGCATCCCAGAAACATTGTCTCCAAAGACAGCATTCAAAATCCTCGCTACTAATACTACAGAATCAGCATAAACAACTACTACAGTACATATAAAAAAACAGTCTCTTGATTTATCAACCCAAAGTATCACATCTACCCCGTAGATTAGAACGGAGGATGGAGATACTTACTCCGTAGATTACATTCCGAAACGCATCAGACTCCATGACGTCACCGCTACTGCAGCCAGCAATTCGTCAAAACTGGCATTGAGTAATGGCTGCCAACTGATTCACCCGAGGTCGAACGGGACTCTCTTTTCCCTGGAATTGATGATTGGCAGCTGGAAGGGAGTTCTCGCTTGGGGAGGGGGAGGGAATCATTTAAGTACATAAGGCCGCCGCTATCCATCCTTCTCTATCTATCTATTATCCAGTTACATCTAGAGATTGCCACTTATCTACACATATTATCAAATATCCCTCGTTGGATTACTGAGACTACTTCTTGAGAACTGTAAGTACACTGCCATGCACAATTTACCGAGAATGGTGGTTGTTAGGTGTGGAAGAGAGGATAGCTTCTTCACCATATACTACATTATCCTCAACCAGCCATCCATTACTTTCGATTCAAGAAGAACTAAACTAACAACATCATCGATCTCAATCCAGATACAACAACTACGACTAACAACTACAACAACCACCAAAATGTCCTTCCTCAACCCCATCCGCGCAACTACCCTCCGCCTCTCCCGCCCTGCCTTCGCCTACACCACCACCACCACCACCTCTCCTGCAGCAGCAGTAGCAGCTCTCCACACCAGCATTCCTCGTCCAGGCTTGAAGGAATCCGATCACAGTGAGTCCAGTCCAGTCCAGTCCATACCAACCCCACTCAAAACCTCCCGGGATACGTTGTCTAATATAATTGGAAATCAATACCAGACCGCGACGACCTCGCCAACATCTACGAGGCCGAGAAACACGACCAAGTAAAGAGCAGCAAGGAAGGCAAGGCCAAGTGGAAGCAGGAAATTGCTAGTGATAGTGAGGCGTCGGTAAGTTTTTCCTCAACTTAAGATACGAGATTCCTAAAATAAAGAAAGAGTCACGATGCTAATGTATTTATTCTCCACTGGAACAGGTCAAAGCCGATCGCGGCGAAGTAGACAGTGATGATAACAACTTTAGTGCCATGCAGGAACGGACGAAAGGGTTGCCGAATAGGGATGGGCCCGTGAACAAGACTCAATAAATTGTTTTTATCTTTGTTAAGAATTACTTGTACTTATGATGGGGTTTGGATGGGTTCTCTTTGATAAATGTAAATGAAATTGATTGTGCTTCTTGTTGCTGCTGCTGCTGTTATTGTTTCTCCGATCGGGTGAGTGGCTTGTGAGTTGTTGGGTTGTGATATGATGGGTCATTTGTTGTCTATGTACGGAGTACTTCTGAGGGATCTATTATTACTTCTATATTATGGTATCAAAAGCAGGAAATTGTATTCAGTTCTGCTATAGAGTAATTCAAAGGAATGATATATAGTGTATTCGAAACAGATGCCGGGTGGACTGTGAAAGTGTAAAGCTGCAAGCAAATATACCTATTGTAACGCCACAGAATCCTTTCCACCAACTCGATGGCTTAGTAGTATGGACAACTCCGATTCAACGCAATTAACGCCATTTCGCCCCTCGGGGATCATCGACAGAGTAGTAGTAATCCCGAACCCACAACAACAAAGTCATGACAAGAAGTATCATATACGAGAGGAGGGGGTCCACACCCACACTCACTTGAGCAGGACGATCAGTATGACGAGGACAATGATCAATCCGATGATTGTCATCATGCTCCAATTCTCACTCGCACTTCGCCGAAATTTATCCAGCCGGCGTTTGGCCTTGTCTAACCGACCCTGATGCCGTTCCACATGGCCATCCATGTCATCCAGCAATGCGACATGGCCCTCAAGTTCATCCCCGATCTGGATACTGAGCTGGTGTTGTCGTCCGATGGATTCGCCGAGTCGGTCTAACTGCTCGTCTTGGTCGCGCATGATCTGCTCATGATGATCGTAGACCTGCTGGTTGGACATGTCGGATGTGTCGACGCCCTGTGGGGAGGGCGAGTCGCGGTATGGCTGGAAAAGGTTGCGGCGATTGAGATCGTCCTCTTCGGCGGTATTATCCATGAAACGGACTGATTTGTTGGAAGGATGTTGCGGGACAGGCTGTTTCAGATCCGGTGATGACTTCTTGATGTTGGTGAACTCGACGGGATCGTCGTCTGCTGCGGCATCCGAGCCGCGGAATTGGGATGTCAGGTCTCGATACTGGGAGTATAGGTGGTCGAGTTGGTCTCTCATCTCGGTGGCGCTTTCATCGTTGGTTTCTTCTAGTCGTGCGCAGTCGGATTCCACGGCATCGATGCCCTCTTTCAAGGAGTCGAGGGAGCGTGAGATCTCGCCATCTTGACTGTTGGGTTCTAGGTCGAGCGAGATGGCTCGTTGCCGTTCGAGGAGCGATAACTTGATATGGTCGGCAAGGAGCAGGAGTTGTGAAGGGTTTGGCATGGCGGAGAGGGATGTGATAGTGTTTGAATATGCGTGAGGATGGTATTGGGGGAGAGCCGGATGAGGAGAGAGAGGAGAGGGTGGACAAGGCTGTGAGGTTGTCTTAGCGTCGGTCAAGCCCAGGCAATGCGGAGATGTCGGAACCGCGGCGACTTGCAGATGACAGGGAAGGGAGGGGGAGAAGTACAGTAGTACATCCACGCAGGGACTGCCAAATGATGGAGCAATGAAGTGGATATTTTGCTGAAGCCAGAGGACCAGCCCGGGTGGTTGGAATGGATGCAACCCAGAGGGCCTCGTTCTCGGCAGATCTGCCGCTTCCGCCGCCATCGTCTCCATTTCCCATATCTCGCCGTCATTCAATGGTTATCCACATTCATTCCTCTCTCTCTTGCTTTCCCCCGCAATGGCCTCACTTTCCTCACGTCCACCTTCTGCGGCCACCCTTCCCCCTGAATTTTTGTTCTTCTCTTGGCCAAACCTTCGTGTCAGCCACTGTGTAACTTTCTGAGATACATGGGCGTTTGCTTTGTGCTATTGTTTCATCATCCCGACCCCTGTGGCATCTGGACGGTCGGTCCCTTCATTTCTAGACTTACCCCCCTGTGCAGGACTACTTCGATCGGCGCACGAGCCCGTGGCTTGACAATATAAGCTGGACCCTTCCTGCGTGGGAAGGGGGTTTGAAAGTATGACATCCATCACTCTCGACGAGTCGCTCGCGATGGAGGCGAACTGCGACCGAGACGAAGTTGTCGACTTGCGCTCACTGGAGTTGGTCTCCAGCTACGATGACCACCTCATGTGCCCGATATGTCACTGCCCTTTTGTTCGCCCCGTGCGCCTTCAGTGCGATCATGTCTTCTGTCAGAAGTGTCTAAATACTGCCATCACTGCGTTCTCCCCCAGTCCGTTTTCCCCCGGTCGAGACGACTTCACCTGTCCTACTTGCCGGACCCCAACGAAGGGTGTCTACCTCAACGTGCCTCGTCTGCTACTCAATATGTGTGATGATATCAAAGTGCGATGTCCTTTTCGGGATGAAGGTTGCGAGGATATTATACCCAGAGGACACATTCAGTCTCATGTCGACAAGTATTGTGGCTACAGGCTCATGAAGTGTCCGGATAGCTCTTGCAACAAGAAGACCCGGAAGAAGGACCTCAGTTCTGAGGGTCGGTGCTTGCATGAGCTTCAACGCTGTCTGCGATGCGACGAGTATGTCGCGGAACAAGACTACGAGGTATGGATGCTGCTCCCAAGCCATATAACGTTGCTAATTAAGTCCTGCCACAGGAACATGTCAAGGATCTATGCCCGAGTCTCAAAACAACATGCCCCGACTGCCAGATAAACGTCCTACGTAAATCACTGCGAGAACACATCGACTCCTGTCCCGAGGTTGTCCATCCTTGCGCGGCATCTAAATACGGCTGTCCCGTCAAGGTGAAGCGTGCGGACTTGACGACACACGAACAGACCTGTCCACTGATAGCCATGGGTCCGTATTTTGAAGCACAGAATGCACGACTGGATTCCCTTGAACTTACTATCCGCCACCTTCAACAGCGGAACGAGATCTTCGAGGACGGAATTTCCAACATCCGATCGACATTAGCCCAGTCGACTCGTACTCTAGCCGAGCAAGACTCCCCGACAAATTCCGACGCCCCCCGTCGACGAGATTCGACAAGCAACCAATTTCAGATCGACAGCTCCAACCTCTATACCGCCACTACAACGAACTACTTGCTCTCTCTCCATGAATCTCTCCGCGAGGAGGTTGGACAGCTCTCCAACGCCATCACGGATCTAGACGCCCGCGCCAGCATGGCTCTCATGAACGAATGTCTTCGCTTGAAAGAAGACATGGCACACACCAACGCAGCCGTGGGCAGCATTCGCATGCAGGTTCAATGGCTCCTGAACCCCCGTCTGCATCAGGGCCAGCGAGCAGGTGCACGTCCAACTAACGCCAATGGCAGTAGCAACCCTGCGTCTGCATCAGGGCCAAGTAGCGCCGCTGGCCCGTCTACTGCTTTTCTCCGACCTCGGAGACTCAGCGATAGCGGACGAGAGGGGACTAAACTCTAATAGACAACATCCGTCCATTACATTGGTGCCCTATAATTGGGTAACGGCGTTTGTTACTTTGATTCTTTTCTTCGCTACCCACTTGGTTGCCCATATACATGCGGTTAATGATCGGTGCTTGGCGAATACATTGGTTGCGACATGATGTGAAATGATATCCTTTGCTTTGTTCTTTGCCCTGGTCCGGTTCTGGTTGTTCTTCTCCTTTCATACCTGCAATTGCAGGGTCATATGTGGTGTGGCTAAATGCCTTTATGTGCACACAACTACAGAATATCCGGCTGGTGGATATATATCCCATCATGATGCATGCACTCTTGCCATGTATGTTGTTGCACTGTACATATGTTTTCAGTTTATGAATTGTATATACTAGACATTCCGGGTGTCTCAAATCAATACATCAAATACATGAATTTACACAAACACCCACTAGTAGTTTGCTAATCATCTACCATCATTTGCGGACCGTCATACCAAACAAACATAATCCCCTCTACTCAACTCCTCCCCAACCACCTCAAAAGCACCACGCGGACGCAAACTATTATTATACATCAAAAGTAATATCACTGAGGTAACTATGACTAAGTACAATTAGATGACTTCTTAAAAATGATTCAATCAGCGGATAAATACCCCTCAACTTTTTGGGCACACCGCCACTTAATATACTTCCTTACTATGCATGTATGGACTTCCTCCAAAGTTGAAACAACACCCCAATTCTTCCTCCCAAGCACTCCAAAGATTTATAAAGGTATTATAGAAAAGCACTATCACCGAACTAGCCCGGCTAGCTCAATCGGTAGAGCGTGAGACTCTTAATCTCAAGGCTGCGGGTTCGAGCCCCGCGTTGGGCTTTCTTTTTTTTTTTTTCTAAAACCCCCTTCTTCCCCCGCGCTTGCCCCACTAGATATTGATTGCACATGACTATTTAATTCATTACTACTATCTACTGTTAAATGAAGTGACTGCTTGTGAATGAATTGATTTTCTGTCTTCTTTAAGCGATAGTGGAGGTCTGAGTATGATTAATAGCTTAATTAACTAGTAAGGTATGTTCGTGTGTGGGAACATAGTATATAACATTTTCTTTTTAAAGTAATGAGGATTGTTCTTGCTAAAGGGACAGTTTAAGTTAATGCTATGAGTCTGCTGGTGGGTGCGTTGAGGATGCAGATGTTACATGTCTATGTCAGGAGAATGCTTTCTGCGAGAGGCATCAAGCATATCAGTCTATTGCATGCTAAAATAAAGTAGGACACTTGCTAGCGTAGCGACTCATCAATAGTTCCCCCCATAGTAGTCCTGACTATGTCCGTTCCCACGTCCATAACTGGAGTAAGAATTGTAAGACTGTTCCTCGTAACCACCAGGCAGGCCCGGAGGAGGAGGGGTGCGACCAGGTGGTGGGTAATGATGGTGGTGACTATGGTGATGCTCTCCATGGTGCCTTCGCTGACTTCCATTGTATTCATCATGGCCGCCGTAGCTGTCAAAGCCAGATGGGGGAGGAGGGGCTGGTTGGTATGATTGCTCCTGGCTGTGATGATACTGACTCTGGCTTTGACTCTGGTACTGGTGCTGATAGCTGCTGTACTCGTGATGCGAGGACTGGTGATGCGTAGTATATTGAGACTCCACACGAGATTCATACTGAGTTGGGTTCTCAGCATCTTCGCTCTCGCCTCTTGTGCCTCCACCTACCATCAGATTGGAAAAAGCGCTGTTCAATTTGTTGAGATTGGAGATCCCCGGGATGGGAAGGCTGGACAGCTTGTCCCAGGGGAGAGGAGACGAGCCTTGCTGCTGCTGAGGCG